TCTCTCTCTCTCTGTGTGTCTGACCCTGCCTGTCTCTCTCTCCGTCTCTCTGTCTGCAGGAATAAGATCTTGATCTTTGGGCTCTTTGAGGAGACAGCTCTTGCAGCCTTCCTGTCCTACTGCCCTGGGATGGATGTGGCACTCAGGATGTACCCCTTAAAGTGAGTCACACCAACCCTCCCTGAACCCCACTCACTGTACCTGACTTCCCCATTCCTGTGAGCAGCTGGTGCAGCCCGAAGGAAGAGGAAGTGGGCTGTTCCATTCCCCTGGGGGGGTTCACGGCTGCAGACACACGGGCTGTTCCATTCCCCTGGGGGGTTCACTGCTGCAGACACACGGGCTGTTCCATTCCCCTGGGGGGTTCATTTCTCTCCCCTCTGTTTTCCCCCACAGGCCCAGCTGGTGGTTCTGTGCGTTCCCCTACAGCTTCCTCATCTTCGTGTACGATGAGATCCGGAAACTCATCCTGCGCAGGAACCCTGGAGGTACATCGCTGACACACACACTACACATACACTGCACACACACTAACACAGACTTACACACACACTGCACACACTGACACATATAATACACACTATAACACACTGCACACTGAAACACACATATAGAGATACACACTATAACACACTGACACACACACTGCACACAGACACATATAGAGACAGACTACAACACATTGACACACACACTCATATAGAGACACACTACAACACACTGACACACATGGCTGACACATGCTTGTACCTGAGACATGAACACTCATACTCACACTCTCTCTCCCTCTGTCTCTCTGTCTCCCTCTGCAGGCTGGGTGGAGAAGGAGACCTACTATTAAATCAACAAACCTGTTCGAACCCACCCCCCCCTCTCCGACCCCCCCGTCTCTCTCTCTCCCCCCCCCAGACTCTCACAGCCCCCCGCGGGCGGACTCTCCCCCAGGACCCGCCACGCCGCTGCCCCCTGTCTGGGGTGGGGGGGCCATCATTTTTATTATTCGGATCGTTCTTGTGCGGTATTCTTTCGGGGCGTGGAGTGAGAGCTATGTTCCTCTTCCACTCGACATGACGAAGCACACCCCTCGACCCCCTCGTCCGCCGTCTGTGTGCGCTGTGTGCATCTCCCCCCCCCGCCCTCCTCTTCCTCCCCCCCTCCTCGGTGAAGATCAGTCTTTCTCTGTGTTCTAGGAAAACAAAATCTATTTCTCTCCGGGTTTAATCAAAGAATTTCAAAACGAAAATAACTTATCGAGAATCGCAAAAGAAAGAGTCTTTCTTTTCCTCTGTTGGGTCCCCCGCCTTCTGTGGGCGCTGTGCAGGAAGAAGGGCTCTGGGCTCCGGGCCCAGCCCGGCCCGGCCCAGCCCTGAGCCCGTCTCCGCCAGCCCGAGGCAGCGCGTGAGGGAAGAGCTGTCGCACAGAAGCGGATCCAACGCCAATAAACATCTAGAACATTTAATACAACCGACTCCTGTCTGTGTGTCTTTCTCTCTGCCTCTTTCACTGCATTTCATACAACAAACTACTGTCTGTGGTAAACACTGTAATACACTATAACACCGCAGTAAACTGCTCCATATAGAAGTAACAATAACACACTGTGGGAAACCGTAATACACTGTAACCACACTGTAGTAAACTGTGGTATATACTGTTGTAAACAACAAGACACTAGTAAACTGCAGTATGCTATGCAATATACTATAATGCACTAGTAAACTGTAGTATATATTATACTACAACATAACATACTATAGTAAACTGGTATTCTATTACACACTGGTATGGGCGGAGCAGTGGCTCTGTGGCTCAGGATCTGAGCCTGTGACAGGAAGGTTGCCGGTTCAAACCCTGCGGCCGGCAGAGGAATCCTACTCCGTTGGGCCCCTGAGCAAGGCCCTTCACCCCAACTGCTCCAGGGGCGCTGTATAAATGGCTGACCCTGCGCTCTGACCCCAGGCTTCTCTCCCTGTCTGTGTGTCTGTGTCTCCATGGAGAAAAGCTGGGGTATGTGAAAAGACAAATTCCTAATGCAAGAAATTGTATAGGGCTAATAAAGAAACATTATAATTATTACATTAAACTATTATATACAATAATACACTATAACACACTGTACTTACTTGCGGTATATTCTGCAACACACTATAACAGACTGTAGTAAACTATAGTATATACTGTAGTACTCTATAACACACTGTAATACACTATAATAAACTAGTACACTATAAAAGTAGTAGACTATATACCAGTATATTCTACAAACCTATAACTAGTAAACTGCAGTATATTCTGCAATACACTCTAGCACTGTGGCAAACCAGTGTATTCTGTAAAACACTAAAGCATTTTGGTAAACCGGTATATACTGTAGTACACCATAACACTGAAGTAAAGTGCAGTATATACTGTAGTACACTATAACACTGTAGTAAACGGTGGTATATACTATAATACACTACAACACTTTGGTAAATACTATAGTACACTAAAACACCATAGTAAACTGGTATATACTGTAGTTCACTAACACACCATAGTAAACAAGTATATACTGTAATAGACTACAACACACCAGTAAACTAGTAAATAATTTAATACACTAACACACCATAGTAAACAAGTATATACTGTAATAGACTACAACACACCAGTAAACTAGTAAATAATTTAATACACTATTACACTTGAGTAAACAGGTTATATACTGCAGTACACTATAACACACTGTAATAAACTATTATATGCTACAGTTCTATATACTATAGTTCACTATGACACTGTAGTAAACTGGTATATACTGTTATACTCTATAAGAGAGATTGAAGTGTGCTGTAATACTCTAACACAGTCGTGGAGTGTGTTGTGTGCTGTAACACTCTGTAAGACAGCGGTGGAGTGTGGTGTGTGCTGTAACTCTGTAAGATAGTGGTGAAGTGAGTTGTGTGCTGTAACACTCTGTAA